TGAAAAAATCCATTGTTTCTTCGGTAATGGAATCTATGTGTCTATTAGCATCTAACCGATTAATATTCCCGTGGAACAATAAAAAAAACAACTTTTGATTCCTTTCACAGGAATATGAAATCTCAAATCCAGTTAGAAATAGGCAAAAAACGACATTAAATATTTTTTTTCCAGAGTTGGTACCTCGCTGAAGTATGAAATACAACTAACGGTGCAAGAAAATACGTGCCACAGCACCCTGGCACACGCCCAAACACGAACATACACACATCAGCGAAGGTTGGGCATCAAAATAACATCTGCAATCCTAATGGAGCTTGTGCCAGGCGGATTAACACTTTGACCCTTTGTTCTTTATTCACATTAAGCCTAGCCTATCTGAATAAAACTGTGCTGGATTATCTCTTGTGTAATCAAACTAAAAAGTGGGAGAGGTGGGGTGGGGTTGAAAAATCGTTCCAAATCTTCAAGTTATTAAAGAATTGCTAATAAATTGTTGACGGTTGCCGGATTGCAGCTTTAATGTAATAGTGTAAAAACGTTGAGCATATGCTTTAGAAATTGTAAGGATGCCAAAATTAGACTGGGTCGTGTATTTGCTATATCTGCAAAGGCACGCCCGTCAGTTTTTCAGGCAAATAGCTACAGTAGACAGTCTGTAGTGAAGACCTTCTCATATCTCCCCAGTTTGTTCACATCACCTACATATGTGCAGATGTTGTGCATAAATACACAACAGGCTTCGCACAAAAATGCAGAACTATAGGCCGGAAGAGCCACAAAGGTTTTGATTTGCTCAGACGTGTCCAAATTCGGACATACCCAGAATCATCGTTCCCATTGCCAACATAAAGAAGACCGTCGGAAAAATGTGAAATAATCAAATTCCCTGGCTAATCCTGAATGTTATATAATGTAAAGAGCAGTGATTGTAGTGACGTGCACGTTTAGTCGGACCACAGGACACTGGGACAGACAGTCGGAATAAGACTGGGGAAACTAGTACTCGTATTGTTTCGTGGAAGCAATGATTGTTAAAACTTCGCCTCAGATTACATAGTAAAGGAATCGCAGAACTGTGCGCGGTGGAACGAACGAGAAGAACAGAATTTTGAAATTGAAGCTGCTCCAGAAACTGACTTCTAACCATTTCTGGTAGGATGTCGTACGCTAACTCGCTGGAATAAACATGACATGAGCAGTTTCTTGAAGTTCTGTTCGTTTCTATCCCTGTCCTTGCAGCAGGTGCTGTCGTGTAGCAGAGGCTCAAAGATAACAAAACAAAAACATGAGAAAACCCATGACTGTTATAAAGGTGCAATCAATCAAATGAAAAATCTGACAATTTGTGTTACCGTTACTAATAATATACACACATTATTAACAAGAAACCTCCAGCTACAGAAAATACGTATATAGAATTATTGTGGGTACGTAATAGGTTCAAAGACCGTGACATGCAGAAAACAGGGACTAGAAGAAAAACGTTAAAGAAAGCTACGGTATAAGACTGAGACAAAAAGCAATTTTATTTTCGACGAAACTAAACTAAGTAGAATGTACTAAAATCGAACACGGATTTCTGTGGTATCACTCATAATACATTTTGAAGATAAAAACGATTGTGTACCTAACAAACGACAGCCTAATGACTTCTATCTGACGTTGTATGAGGTAAACTTATCTCTTCTGATATTATTTTCTTCATTGTATGCCTCTATAATAAAGTTAATGAAAAAACGCATGAGATTTACTAGACCTATTTACAAAATACGAGTCTGACTGTTAAGAGAATGATACTTGATATATCATTGATTACATCAACGAACAAACTATTTTGTGGCACGAAAACTAAAATCAAAGATCCTTTGTAGCACAGGCCTGCATGATAATACACCACAAGCTACAGCATAAGTATATCAGTTAAGACGTTTTAAAATTAAACCCCTTAATTTATATGTAATTGATCCAAATAAAATAATAGTCCATTTTGTATATACGAAAACATTTATAAAATTAAAAATCTTGAATGAGTGAATATGCTTCTACTACAAACATATTTGAACGGAAATAATTATTTTTTAACACCTTTGCTTTTCTCTGGTTCTGTTCTCTCGCCTTGCATGGACCAATGTACATGGTTTTTACATTAGTTTTTGTCCAAAATGTGCTCCATGTCATTTTCCAAAAACGGGCAGTCCTCCGACTGTGAAGGACTGTGTGGTGCATCGATTAAAAGATATAAGAAATGTTTACAGACCGGAAAATCCAACGGTTAATGTTCTTATCTTTCTTTGCAATGGAATCTCATTGGACAAGAGAAATTAATTGTTGTTGTTCGTCGTGTCATCGCTAGGGGTCAGTATTGACTAAGACAGAGAGAAGCGCTGTTTCGTTTTAGGAGTGGAAATGATGATGATGATGATAATGATTACATCTTTAAAAACAATACATGATTTTAAAAACATAACGATTGCTAGCGTGTTTGCGTTGCTTATATAAAAATATACCACGAAACACTAAACCTCTAAACAACTAAACAAACAATATGTAAGAAAGAGTGTTTTTGTTACATTACATTACTACCAAGTAGACATACAAATAAAAATACAAAAAAGTATATGAATACTTCAAATTGACGGATGATATATTTTCTAATATCAAATTATGATTTATATTCTAAAGATTTTTTTAATGTAATGCTGACATTTCGTTACCAGCAACTACTGCTGCACGCTGTATTGTTGGGCATTTGATAGATAAACTTTGATTTGATTCTGCGGGCATCGCAATACATTCTAAATTGACTAATCAATATAACATGTATTATGTATTTAGACAAATTTGTGTGCAAGAGAAATTACTAATTCGTGGTATATTTTCAGAAATTTTCCTAATTCGTTACGTTAGGTTTCTTACCTTCATCTAACAAAGTATAGATGTCTTATTTTTTCTAAAAATGATCGACTGAAAACATCTTTATACAGCCAAGTGTGTAATGTTTCAGTCTTGTAGGAAGAACTAGCCTGGATTGTATCTGCAATTAAAGATTTTACAAGTAGCGTTGACAATGCTCCTTCGGTTAGGACAACTGCCTGTGACCGCCTTAACAAGCTTGTAATAAATACGTCCAACAATAGGGACACAAGCACTTAATTTAACCTTAAGTAACCTCCACTAAATGGAAAGAGTGGACCCTCATTGAAACCCGAGTACTTAACAATACACATAACAAACCCCACGGGGCAGAGGTCAAGAAATGGTTCATTCTTTATCAGTCCTCGCGCTGCCCTGTGTCTCCCATTTAGTCTTGGTGTCCCTTGTGGCGCTCGGTGGTTTAGAATAACTCCACTTTCCAACAAACCCACCAAACCCAGCAACTACGCGCAATAACATATCACCACATGGAAAGTCGGTATCTTTCTATTATGCTCTTGAAATAGTTTTGTATTTTTCAGTGGCATAATTTCCTTGTCCTGCATGGGTTATTAGCTTCCGATCGGTTTATCGTATTAATATGACATTGATTTGATCAAATAATCGAATGTTATAATAATGTGAGGTACGATTTTTTCGAACCTTAGATAATTCTGTCATAATATTGAAGAATTTTTAAAAATATGTATATATTATTTTTAAAAATATATTTTTAAAATGTATTTTATTATGAAGTGTTTCAATCAGTAGGTATGCCCTCACACCCTTAAAACAAACCGCTGATTAAGTGCTTTCATATTAATGGTATAATCTGTATGGCAACGTAAACTATGTAGGCCTACATGTGGTTTATTGAAAAATTAGTTATTGCTTTCCAAAAACATTTATATTTGTGTGGAAAATGCAAAAAAAACCGAGTGTGGAAAAGTGACCATTTAAAGAAATAGAAAACATTTCAATTAAGAGGATAACGTTATTGAAATCAGTATATTTAAAATGAGGACAAACAAAACGAAATATGGGTTAAGATGATTGAAAATCAAATTTCTATATTTCGCTGCATGGTTTTCATGCTGTGGATTTTTGTGTATTTGTACAGAAATGTATTATAAACACAATTCTGATCGTATTCAAGAACTACGGAAAAATCATAAAGGTATAATATATTTAACTATCTAAAAATAATAAATATATTTTAAGTGGGAAACGTTGTAATTGTTATTGTCTTTTTAATTTGCATTTTCCATTATGAAACAGGAAAAATACATGCGTCTACTAATTAATAACAGCATATTATCGGAAATAACTGCACGTCTGAAAACAGCTACCTGACATGAAATATCTGGTTTACCACAGCTCAATGGCTGTTTTGAATAACTATAACAAATACAGAAATTCAAAAAATAAAATAAAAGCTAAGAATATTTCTCTAAGTCTTGCACTGCGTTATTCTATATACACACTCCACATGCACTCAAAATTTACAGGCTATTGATGTAAAAGTTTGGAATTACCTCCATTATAATTGAATATCTGCATGAACTAGCACAATAAATTAAACTTGAATAAATAAACAAAATGTATCTGACTTAACTGCTGTAAGTGCCCAACAGCAATTAAATTACATTATGAAATTAGAGTAAAACAGCAATTGTCTTAAAAAGTTACTTCGTCACTGTACTGCCTATGTACATACGTGTTAAAAAGCGCTGGTTCTCAAACCACGTATGTGAGATAAATAAATCCTTGGGAAACCATAATAAACTCGATAAAATCGAATAGACGTGAGAAACTTGCAGTTTCCAAAAGGTCTCGTATTGTGTTTAAACTGTCCTGATTATGAAATGATATTTGAGGCGAAAAATCCGAAATGGGGGGAATGTGACCTGCACGAGCCTTCGCTATTTTCTGGGGGAGGTTAAAAATGAAATGACTACCAGCGCGTTTTATAGGTGACGTATGGTACTACGTGGGCAGTTTTGCCCAAGTGCCACATCTTATAGGCTTTTTCCTCAGAAATTATATCTCCTTGTAATTCTCATCCCCCGTCCATCCATAAAGACAGCAGTTCTAGACTGGGGCGGCTTCTGCGAGCTCCAGATATCCGCTTATCCATTAGGAGTGAAGGTGGGGATCGGAGAGAGAGGAGCGAAGCGAGACAGACGGAGGGAGACGGATAGACTGGACAGACATAGCGTGCTTCTTTTGAACTCAGCAGCGTTCATGGAAGAGTTAGAGACCTTCTGATAACTAAAAGGTAAGCTGTCGCTGTGGAGTATTTTGAGCAATTACAAAGAACATATATTATTCTCCTTTAAAACTGCACCAATTGAGCATGCCTATTGTAATTAATTGACCAGATTATAATACGTTGTCACATTTTGTATTGGCAATGTAATCGTACCACTTCGTAGATTTGTAGGAGATTTGGCCGCATCTTATATTTTCATGTAGCCTTTACGATGTGTTAGCTCTATAATTGCATAAATTAAAATAAACGCTGTAAAGTTCAGCAGTGCTTTATTATTATTATTATTATTATTATTATTATTATTATTATTATTTTTCGTAGCCTACAGAACTTTATTTTTTCAATCGATTGGTGGATTAAGTGGTTTCCATTACAAAAGCTGGCGGGTGATCTTAACTTGTTTGTGGTGATGCAAGATTAATCGGTAGATTTTAAGACTGAAGAAGCTCCGCATGAGCGAAACATTTCTCAGGGTGTGTGTTTCAAAATATCTCAGGATGTATTTGGGGCCGTTGCAGCTGATGCGTGGAAGTTTTTTTTTTTTTGCAGCGGGGCGCTACGACAAGCCCGCTCGCTTAGTACGGGACAATGGAACCCCATGGTGAACCGACCCAAGAATTTGGATGTAGTTAAATTGCAGGACACGTTCGCTGACTGTGTGACTGTATTGAGAAATAAAGACAGACAGTGAAAGAGAGGACTTTTTTTTTCTTTTCTTTAGGGGCTGGTGAGAAAATGTTCGGGCTGAAAGTTGGCTTGGCGTCTTTATTTCAGTGGCAATGGAGCAGATATAATTCAATAGGAAACGCGGGGATTTTTAATGAAAAGCGTCTCAGGCACACAGCAAACCCCGGCTCTTGTGAATTAATTATCAGAGAAAATAAACCCAAAGAGAATGCAATTGTTAAAAAGAAGGGGAAAAAAAAGGTAATGGAAAAACAACAACAAAAAGGAAAACGAGATTATATATATGTGTGTGTGTATTATTCACGAGCACAAACATATACACCTTGTTAAATACAAAAGGATTCCTAAAGATTTTGATAGCCAGAATCTGATATCAGAAAACCCATAGTAGTTGCCGTTTCTCTTCCACTATAGGTTGAGGAACAGTACACGACATGGTTGCTAAACTATATTATAGGTTTTAGATGTACAGTATTTGTAGCCTAATCGTCATTTATGTTACGTGTTTTCACAGCAATGTTAAAAGTAAAAAAAATGGTCTAAATGACAAAATCTATTATGTTTTCAATGTTCGTTTGTAAACGTTCGTTTGTGGGTATTTTTAAATACCAACACTCAAGAAAAGGAAGACATACGATCGCGCCAGAATGAATTAGCATTGCTACACGGCCTGGGTGTTAGCCGCGATGTGAAAGGGTTAAGGAGTTTGATAATGAACTTGGCTCGCCTGTCAGTCTGTCTGTCTGGGACTTGATCGATAGCGCAGACTCTCAGAAAAGTCCAGCCGGCGGGTTCTTCCCCGCTGGCCTCATTCAAGAAAGCCTGAGACACAACTGTGTGAACCACTGACTTTTCGGCCTCCACCTCGGCATCATTCCGGGTTTACATAAAATCCACCGAAGAATGGAGCCCCCAGCCTGAATTCGTACCGTTCTCAACCAGACTGCAGTGAAAGCTGGCTGTACAGTTGGCCAGTCTAGTGACCAGTTCAGTCCGTTGCATAGTGCAGGCGAATTCACACCCTCTTGTGCGCCTGAGCATTTCCCCCCTATATCTAGATGTCTTAAACTCTTTTATTTGATGCTTTGTTATTCGGTGTCTGGGCTGTGCATTCATCTGCTTTGGCTTTTGTTATGTGTAAATTTATGACAATACAGTCAAAAAAATGTCAAAATATTGAAACAAAAAAGGGTGCTGGCTGATTTTTTTCCCACAGTTTCTAAGCATGTCAGCGTGTGTGATTATTGAAGTGTGCAAAAATCCCAAATATTTTACAGACTCCAGTGGGTACTGTGTATTTCGGCCTTTGAAGTTTTAAACCTGCAGGCCTTTATATATATTTTTTCATCAAGATTAATACGAATCATTGCTTGTGCCAAACCACAATTTGGGGGTAGATTTGATCATTGAGATCGATCAGGATTGTTGAATACGTACGGAGGTAATGGCCGTGTATGTGCAGGCATACGGCTGGGTACATCGACTTCGAATAAACAATACCCTGTCTTTAGAAGGCAGATTCAAATAATTATAAAGTGTGGGTCGGAAATTCAGTATTTTCACTATACCCTTTTGATGAAAAATGTTTCTCTTGTGATAGAAGGTTCCATCACAAGGGAAAAAAATGAAATCCGGTATATTTATTTAATTTACTAATTATAAATTTTAATAACGTTTCACCGCGTATTAGATTGAGTGTTGACTTGTTAATTGAGATATCCACCGAGTGTTAATTAAGGCTTGGAAATGGGTAGGGTACTGGACTGTCATTTCTGTTGGTTTAGCTGGCATACATACCCCCCCCCCCGCCCCACGCACACACATTCCCACTAACCCTCCCCCCCGAAGCCGCCCCCCCCACTCCAACTCCTTTTTCTTCTCATGCTTGGCTCCGATTGGCCGCGCAGGAGGCTGCTGCTGTAGTGACGTCACTGCAGGCGAGAGCTGTCAGAAGAGGAAGCTCTTTGAGAGAAACCAGAGGCTGGGAGGATAGCGAAAGAGACGGATGAACTGAGAGAGCAAGACTGAGGGAAGGGAAGACAGATCAATTGCTAGGTTACAAAAAAAGAATAAGGGAGAGAGGAGTAGCGAGAGAGAAGGGGGGCTTGATATGTTCATTTGCACAAAAAAAAAAAATGAATAGCAAGCATAGATTTCACAAGCAGCGTCTTCCCCATCTTGGAAATAAAATAATGATGCTACACATGGAGCAATGAACACACATTACAAAGCTGAGGATTGACATCACCTTTAAAAAAAGATGCGTTGCGTTCGCCTTGCTCGTCTTCTGCCGCCGATGGTGTTCCTGCGGTTGGTTGGGTGCGAGTTCCTGGGTTGCCCTGAAAATCAATGTTTTTGACTACTGGAGCAGATTTCCTACGTTGTCACTTTACATCTGCTCATCTGGAACCTTTTCTAGCACCCTGCTTTGCTGACGCTTCGCTCTCGTTTAGGTCTCTTGGGAGAAAAAAAGACATGGAAGAATTAATTCCTTGTGTTCAAAAGTAAGGACTCTTCATTTAATGCTCTGTGTGGTTTGGTGTGTTGTATGTGCCTGTGTTCTGCTATACGCTGTGAGACCTTGGAAGCAGCTGCTCTCAAAAATAATAGATAAAATAGGTCACTGCATCTTAGTTGTGTTGAAAAGTTGACAATAGGCGTCAATGCCCTACAATTGGCCATGCAAAATGTGCTACGTCAAGACATAATTTCAGATTGCTTTTACTTATCTCTGGTTCGCAAAATCCTTGGGCTCCTGCTGTTGGCTTTTTGTAAAAAAAAAAAAACCCATTGCTCTCGATCACAGCTCGGACCAGCTGACCCCAACGCGCCAGACAAGGCCACGGCCAATGGTAGCCTTTTCCATTCTGTATCCTCGCCGGTCCGCCGGGGTTTCAATTCCATGGTCAAGTCCAAGTACTGAAGATAATAGGGATGTAAATTACTTCCCAAAACACTTTTCATAGAAGAAGTGAAGGGAACATTGCCGCGACTGCACACATGCCTCTCCCGCGTAAGGTGCTTTTGTTCTTATGGTGGTTGTTAGGAATCAACTACAGAGGCGAATATATCTGCTTACAGTAAATTCCTAAGAAAGATAATGTTATTGATACTGACAATAACACGCACCACGAAATATATTACACGCATGTGTATGAACAGACTTTGCAGAAATGTGCTCGTGTGGGTGTGCGGTGGAAAGCTGTATTTTGAATATTTCCGAATCAGGAAAATGTAGCGCATTTTATTCCCTTTTTGAAAAAAAAAACAAGTAAACAACCAATGTGTGTGTTTGAAATAAATGCTTTGCCATGTTTGTAAGATAAGAAAGTACTGATTTATGCCTTATGTATAAATTATGCAATGTCTCCACTGATATACATTTCTTCTATGTTTTTAAACATATTCACTTCTCTGTAAATGAGCATTTCCTAGGGTGCATACACTACCTATGTATGCTGGCATTGTTAACCTTGATAATGACTCTTGTTTTTATTCTTTTTTCCTATGTTGTTGCATATTTTTTTAATTTCACGCGCCTTTTAAAAGCTACAGTATCCGTGCATTCAATCTGTTTAATCCATATAATTTTATGATAATTTATTAAGATAAAAGAAAAAATGCTCTACGAATTTTCAGTAGAGGCCAGCGATGTGGTCACGGTGGACATTAGACATTATCTGTCTTTAAATGCAGTGGAAAAGAGGTCATCTTTAGGCGGAAATTGAGATAGAACTCGGGGTTTAAATATTACTGTCCTTTTACCTTTCTCTTTTATCCACATATTTCTATGACTGGACGTATGACCAAATTTCAGGCAATTATGTAGAGGCGATTTCCACACAAATACATTAAGAGTATTTCCCAATGCAGAAACATTTAAACACTAAAGCATACATCTAGAATTAGTAGTACTTTTATTAATGTTTCTTATTATTGTACTTACCAGCAATGCAACAGTATGCTTATACAATGTCACTACACCACTAGTGTATAGAAATTACACTGAGTGCTTCTCAAATGTGTGATTATTTATTAATTTACACGCACACATATAAATATTTATTAATGTTACCCCTCAATTAGAAGGAGTAATCGCTCAATCACTTTGCAAAAGATGTGTAACAAGCTTGCTCGTGTCTTATCGGCCTTCACCTTGCTCTTAGAGATATTTCTTTTTATGCTGAGATCACCATTCAGTGAATGCAAAATGCCCTGTATTGGTATTCATTTTTTAAAGTACTTATTTTTTACATAGATCTGTAATTTTTGACAGATACTTGCGTTTTAATCCTAGGCCGGTGCAATACTGATGCAATTGCATGGAATGCTTGCTTTTCTTATTTTCTCGCATTGCTTCAGTGTCTCTGTTAAGTGTTTTTAATTGTCAAGCGTGAACATATACCTACGTATACCAACGGGGGCATGTTAAGAAAGAGGGTTTCATCCACTGAAAGACATTAAAGACGATTCACTCGTTATCAACGTGGGGTTACTCATTGGCTAAAAATAACTTCTAATTAAACAGAGTGACGTCAGACGCGCAGGACGTAGTGTGAAAGGGAAGCGTGGGTTCATCAGAAGGTGATTAAATTAAACATTTGCATAAAATCACCTGATAATTCCTGCTGGATTTAAAGGAACATGCCATCTTTTGTTGATGGGAATTTAGGATGGCCTTAATCCTATATTGCTTTCCCCTTTTCCATTTTATAGATACATTTGCAAAACAGAAAAACATTATATTATGATAATGTTGGACAATGGAATGAAATGGTAGTCCTGCTCATAATAGGATTGTAAAGAAAGGTTCATGTTGTGTAATTAAATCCACCTGCGGGAAAGACAATACCGAGACACTGTTCAGATCGGGTTTTTTAACACAAATGTCATGATAATGGATTTATATTTAGTCGCAGGATTTTAAAACTTTTTACAGCATGGCCGGATCCAATTTTAGTTGCATATATAATGGTACGATTTTAACTCCAATCCATATCACTATAGAATTATGGAGAACATTGTACAGTGAAAGTAAAAACGCCAGTCACCGACAGGCCGAGCTGTAAAAGATTAGGTCTAAAATATTTATATTCTAGTCATGCTTCACATAATGTTAACAAATACTGTTTACAAACTGAGCCTGAACTATGGGTGTCTTTGAAAATTTAAGTTCGTCGTTAGGATAATGTCACCCAAAAAGTGGGAGTGGTATAGGTCCAAAAGCTGTTGGTCTGTTTGTGAATGCCAAGGGCATCATGCATTCCCGGAAAGGAAAAACGCTGATTTTTTACACTGTTCTCCTCGATTAAATTAAAGTATTTTTGTCTTTCTCTTTCTTCACATTATGCAGTATATAAAGCTTTCATTCTTAATGTTTTTTATAAAACAACTAATCTAGTTTTAAGATAATATACACACATAATGACTATGTCAAGTTAACAAAACTTCACACTTCTCACCGATGTATAATGGGTTATGATGAGAAAAATAATCAGGATTATGAAGGAAAATGTATTTATAAATCAACACTGTAGATAACGATATTATGCGAGGAACTGTAGTATCTATGTAGTCGTTTTTTATTTGTTTTTTTTACAGTAAAATACATTCAGCAATTAAGTGTATTTGTGTTTCAATTCTGTCGATAATTACACAATTTTAATTGTAAAAATATGTAAATGTAGTTCAAAATATATTTTCTACCAGTTATTAAATATGTGAAATGTGCCCATACTTTCTGGAAAGTTTAAATAAAATAATAATAATAATACAGAAAAAGTAATAGAGGGTAGATCTAAAAAGCCTAAAGTCTGAGAAAAGTTATAAAATAAATGGATACATCAACCACAATACATCAATAACCACAATAATAAGAATAAGAATAATAAGCGAAGATTGTAATGTAAATGTAAGATACACTGATTGCGGATCTGTTTGCTAGTTCTTTCCAATGATAGAGTAGAAGCAAATTTTTCGCAGACAGGCAACATTTATACATTACAAAATATTTTTTTTCATTTTTAATTACAGCTTACATGTTCACGTTTTAACTTCAGTGTAAAATAATGAGTGAAATAATACATGCATTTCTATTGCGATTTTATGCTCTAACTATTCATTCCTTTCTAGAATAGTATTTGTTTTAAATAAAAACAGATTATTTTAAAAAATACTGAATTATACAATAAAACTATTTTGAGTTTGTCAGGCTTAGTGTTTGATATGTATAGTAATACAATTTTCAAAAGATCATTAAAAATGAAATAACACTAATAATAGAACTACTATATTCAGAATGAACTTAATAAACATTTTCTTAAAGACTGTTGATCATTTATGTATTAGGTCTTTAAAACATAGCACATTTGTTTATTTTCATTTAATGATGTATTTCGTCTCCTCTTTTACAATTCCAGTAAACGCCTTTTTGTTTCAGAGTTACTATATCAAAACAGAATGATGTCCGGGAGAAATATGGTATTTTTCTTTGTATAGTCTTTTTAAACCATTAATCATATCAGTTATTCTGTCTTCATTATTTTGCCTTCGTTATATATTATGGAGACTTTCGGGTTTCTCTGAAGTGGCAAGGAGCTCTTGAGCAATACAAATGTACAGACTTCAGTGTTCATCACATCTACCAAAACAGGAGTTCATCAATTAGCGCTGGGTCAACATCGAGTGTTTGAAGGGAGGTAAAACTTAAAAAAACTCGGTTTTGTAGCAGGCCCTGCACATTCCACCTTGTTGTAGGGACAACATGTATGCTACACAACATCAAGCACAAAAGGGATAGGAAAACTGCTACGATACCTGTAGCCCGGCCTCCGGCATTGTACAGTACAGAGTCGCAGAAATGCGCTAATGCAGATATCTGCTCTGTACACCAAGGGCGCAGAAGTCTTTGATGGAAAACCTGGGGACTTTCACTGTCTGGCCAGTTTGCATGTCAGAACGTCATGACTGTTGTTTCTAACTCATCCACCCTATTCAGTCCTATTTTCCAGGTCAGAATGGCGCGGCTGTGTATTATTTTTTAATAAACTCCTCTAGCTTTCTTACCGTTGGAACACACCTCCTCCTCTCTCCATGTTTGATGCGAAAATTTAAATTACGCATATGCTAAAGCTTACTTTGAAAAAAAAAATAATTGCAATGGATTATTTTTGTATATTATATATGTTTTTTGGGACTGTTGATAAAAAGAGTAAAAGTGAACATCAACCATCTATATAACATAATTTTCATCATAACTATCATCTCTCAATTGAACATATCATACTTAATAATACTATTCTTTTTCATTTCTATGTATACCTGTCATCTATGTCCGTAATGATAGTTTACCTGCGTTACTCGCTTCAGAATTACGTTTAAAACGCAGTCCCTGACGTAACATATGTTGTATCAGACATAGTGCGTTGGTTCATTTCTTTTATTATTCGAAGAAATTGAGCATCTCGCTTTCTTGATAAATTTAAATTTGTGCTGCATTAAAATGGGATGGAAGCGAAAGAAAAGGCGGAAAGGGCGGGAAAGGAAAGCTGATTTGAATGCAGGACTAGTATTGGGCCTTAATGTGGTGATGTCACCAGGCGTGGGCTGATTTGCATGAGAATGGGGCTAGATATGGTGACTGAGACGGAGCCCTCTTTTTCCCAGCCTCTGACAGACCCTGGCATATGATCTGCATGCAAACGAGGACCCCCTGGTTATGCCTCGCTCTCTCTTGCTTGTCAAGACCGGCTCTTCTGTAGAAGAACGGCCCACCTTTCGAAGTTCTCCAACCCATGTAGAGCTACAGATGCGCACCAAGAGGAGCGCTCTGATGGCCGTCAAGAGACGTGTTGTAGCTCCTAGTTTAACACCTTCGTTTCTAATTTTATTTTTCTTTCTGGTGGCAGGTGGGAAGTTTCCTGCGGTCTAAAGTCAACCTCCAGCCTCTCCTGCGTTTGTCTTGAACGCCCGGACGGAGAGGGAGTCGGTTGCTATCTTTGGTTATCTAGCTGTATGAGTGTTATTCAGCCGTCATAAAGCTAGATAACCGAAAGTAGAAATGACTTCCAAACCTGCGCGCCACCCTAAGAAAATGTAAGCGATAGACGAAGAAAGTGACCAAGAATTCACGAAAACGAGAGCTGCTATAAACCCAGGCAGAATTTTCAACTGAGACACCGCTTCTGTTAACTCGTCTTCCAAGGTAAGTTGAAAAGATTTCCGTACAATTTACATTTCTCTATGTTATAGTTTATGTTATAACCCTTGCTACATAGCATCGCCCGAATTAAAATGTTTGTTACATTACTACACTACGCAAAATGTCTGACAATGTCAAATAAGAAAATAAAAATAACCATATTTAGTCATCGGTTATTCAAGATTAGTCTTGCCCATAAACTTCCTAGCAAAGTTTACATAGCCCCTTTTGTGTAGGTATAAAAATGTCTCGCATAGACGAGAATTTTCCCCGTAAATCGTTTTTATGTTTGATTGCACCAGTGAAAAAGAGAGGCCCCCTTCTTGAAATAAACTTGTTTAAAAAGTTGCATTAAATTATTCTGGGAGCGAAGCCCTCAGACACATTAGCATTCTGGAATTTTTGTTTTATATAGAGGCTCGTCTATAGCGCTGCCCCTTTAGGAGGTCAAGTTCTTGATAATTTGATCACTTTTCATGGGTTTTGGCAGTTTCTTTTGTGCAGGGCCGGGGATCATTGTGGAAAGTGAAGTGGAGCAGAAAGGAAAGGGTGATTTTGAATAGGGGGCGGGGGGTGGGATTCTTCTAGGGCAGACCCTTAACATTGCAACTCGCTCTGCATTGGAAATAACTTCTTTAGGAAAGAAGGTAGACATTTGTGGAGGGACTGAAATAACTTGGTTCGAATATTTCATTAGAGAACGAATAGAAAACCCGTTTTGATTCGATATTATCATACAAGAGCACACCCGGGGCAACGAAGATTTTTCTGGTCTCAATGTTCTGCGTTGTTTTAGAGCAATGTGTTGAAATATATTAAAAAGTAAGAAATATTAAGAAGAGATGCATACACGCAGTTCGTCAGCTTTTGAAAGGGGGAATTCAAGCCTCGGATAAGAGCTTAACCAGTCTTTGATGAAATGATTCCTAAGGTACAAGTCAGAAATTAAAAAAACCGATGCAGATTTCAACCGTATTTCCGTTACTGTGTTGTCTAGTATTCATTATGTATAAGGAATTGCGAAATATGTTAAAACACATATTTCTACTCCGGTGTCTTAATTGTCCTTGTGATTTTCAAAACGAACAACTCCAGGTCCGGTTTGCTTAGACTTTCACAAGAAATTGCAAGAGCGTTCTGTGATCGTTGCATTCACGAATGGGGCGAGACTTGTATTTTAGGAATATGCGTCTTGCAATAACATCATTATTCGATCCAAAATGAACACTCAGAACAAGTGCATCGTGTTGAAGGGGCTATTTTATATGGTCTGAGCTTGGCTGGGGGTTGGGGAAACTGATAATGTCGCTGTCCGCCTTCTGAAACGTTAATGGACCTTAGAATTTTCATTGTCTACTTCGAACCAAAATCGGACAGTGTAGCAATGTTTAGGGGCAGTTTTTTTTTTGTCAGTGAAGTTGGGTGGGATTTGCTAGGCTGTTTTTCGGGTCTCGTAATCTCTCCAGACAGACCACATTGGGAGCTGTCCATTCAGCTCCCCTCAAAACATGGTGCTGAATATTAAACAGATAGCCTCCTGGGTCAAGTGCTAGCTCTTTCCTTTCCTTTCAGCCACCCTGTCTGTCCAGACTTTGTATTGAAATGGTTCCAAACCCTTTTAAAAACTTCAATTCACTACATTTCATTCAGATGTTTTCTGCTAGGGTCCGCATGTTTTGCATAAGAGAAAGTAGCTTTCCCTCGAGTTTTAAACTATGAGGAAGAGTGTTTCTCTCGATCATTAAAATTGTGGGAGGGGCATTCTCCTTTCGAAAATATATTGCTATCTTACAGACCTTTGTAAATTGTTTCTTAATGACAATAACGATGGATATATTGATAAAATCAGCTCTAATCCGCAGATGGGTTATGTAACTGTCCACATAAATGCCTGATATACGTAGGCAAGGTCTCGGGACACGTGGCCCATCATTTGAAAAATCGTAAAAGCATGAGCACACAGATTTAGAGCACAATTTGAAAAAGCGTTACTAATCCAAATTTACAGCAGTAATCCCATGATCTGGTGAGTCCCACACGCAGAACAAGAATTAAACACGTGGATTTTCCAGAAACTGAACTCGTTTGTGACGCATTTTCCCGGCCATCGCTGAAGACAGAGACAGTGTCCCAGACACATTATAAACAGGAGCTGCACAACTAAGGAAACTATACTTCCACCCCTACAATTCTCACAAACGTAGACGCTAGCCAGCATTTTCCCCTTTTTATATACTGCTTTCGTTATTAGAGAGTATTTGTTTAGAAATAAAATACTTTAGAGGAGGGGTAGAAGGTATTTTTAATTGGAATTAGAAAGACTTTACCTTTTTAAAACATTCAACAAGTCCTCTGGAATGGGATACTATATATACTTCCAGAATTGTGTAAATTTGCTTCAAAAACACTCCAGTCTTCTATAGTTCTTGTAGATCTTTAATTTATTCTACCTCCTGAGTAAGCCTTAGAATTGCTCCTATTAAGCATAGCTTAATGCATTGTATTCTGCTAGTAATAACTAGCCCAGAGGACTCGAGTACCTCAACCTGCCTTTTTCTTGCTTAGTCCTTCAGGCTCCCTGTAGCTGACACTCAGAAAGCAACTCCAATGGTTAAGCATGGAGGGCCCTAACCGGAGAAGCACATTCATTCAATCCAAAGCTACTTACAAGCAATAGAGCCTGCAGTAGCACTCAAAGGATGGCGTGTCCCTCAATGGCTGGAGCAGGGCCTGGGCTAATTGGTTTGATTCAATGGGGGGTGCTAGATTTGTGAAAAGTCCGAGCAAGGTTTTCCCACGATCAGGTTGAGCTCTCATACAAAGTGGCTGAAGATGGCCTGAGAGGTGGGCATGGAAAACGAGTGTCAGATGCTCTATGTTTCTTGGCAGGAAAATGCTTGAGCCCTTCTTTGCAAATGGCTGCCGTGTCAAGTCTTGCGCATGAACGATACCAGCCTCGACACCAGTCTGTCGATGCAGTGTCCTGCCTTAATAGGAGACCTCATTCACTGCCTAATGGTCAAAACACATGGTCACTCTTTCTTTATTATTTTGGTGTGATTATAATAATCCCCCCTGTCAATTTTGTTAATGGGGCTCATTTTCAAGACCCCCCAGTGGAGAATTGTGCAGATATAAAGGCTCATACCTGGTATTCGCAGGTTTTGCTTCTCTCAGCTTTACTTTAGGAGCTACGCAGGCCGCTGACTAGGCACACTCAACTGTCCGGTGTCTGTTGTACAGTGCAAGCGTACTGCCCCACCTGCAATTATGGTGAATGAGGATCTTTCCAACTATATAGATGTAAAGGGAGGGCTCCTTCATTCCTACAAGGACAATGCTTAATTTCTGTGGAAATGTTATGAGAAAAAGGATTTCAGGTGTGTTCCAGAAATAACTGATTCACTGTGACTATTGATATTAATAATTAAAGCAGAAACGTAGCTTGAAATCTTATCTAAACACAGGTCAAATAATAGAAAGTGGATCATACGATAAAATGGGCTAACTCTAAATGATGCATCAATTTCAATATTTTTACAATTATTTCATATAATATTCCTGAGGTTGTGCCTTTTTGGTTCTTAACCAAAACTTATGGAATGCTCCAAATGTGTATTTGAAGCATTTCTATATGGTGGCAATGTAATACAAAAATATATTAAAAGCCATTTGAGTCTCATTGCTGTATATGTACATGCATATACAATTAATATAGCTGATGCTTCATCCAAGGCAACACACACATTCAAAAACAATTTCTGAAGCATCAAAAACACATATATAAAGCAAAGTAGGTAATCGTTTTACAATACGTCAAACAATGCAAGAAATTAGAGCAATATAGAAGTGATACGTATTGTACAGACAATCTTCTTCATGAGGTAAAAATATATACTGAATATTTTATGGTAGTTACTGAAGTCATAACAACATTCAACTGTGATATTAACATTATGAAAACATGCCTTTTTAAACTGTAAATGTCCTACTTTATTAAACAGGCTTTAAAATTATATGTAGAGAGAATTGAATGCTTGTTTCTTTGCTGTAAAACATTTGCATGGAACAGAAACAATACACATTTTTAACTTTATTTAAAGTTGTGTATTTGCATTATTTTTACATTTTGATTCAGAGTGTATACGGAGTTTGGTTAAAACAAAATGTTGGAAACCCTGCTGTCAGGGCTTTGACTTGATGTTTGTAATATTTCTTTTTTTCTGAATCCAGTTTAATAAAAAAAGGTAAATGATGCCAGTAGTGTCATTTATTTTTTCTTAGTCACTAATGAAGACCTGTCACATACACATACGAATTGGCAACTCTGACTGAAATTAAGTAATAATACGTAGTTAGACAGTAAACATTCAAAGAGGGGAAACCCAGTTACCCAGTTACATGTTAAATTTTGACATGCTGACAATGTTGAATTTAAATTTCTCCTGCATATTCTTCTCTACCTGAGAACAATCACATTATTTATTTAGACTGGGTTTCCAGAGCAACTTATGAATCATGCTAAATGATGAACCAAAGCTAACTTTACCTTTAGATACGAGTCACGATCATTTTTGAATCCTTTTGATTAGATTGTTTTCATGTTGGAAACAGTTATATTTATAATGAATCCTGGACCTGCATGACACTTGGTTTTAAACTCTGTATTTCAAATTAGAGTTGAGACAGTATAGATTATGAAAATGTGAAACAAAAAATGCATTGATAATGTAACGTTTCACAGAATATTGGCTGTGACTCAATGCATCTTGTACATCAGTACATGGTCACATGGAAAATATTGGCTTCTAGTCATATTGTTCTGATAGCAGGTTGTCTCACACCTCATTTTCATTCGGCAAAAGGCCGTTTAGTTTTGTGTTTGGAAGGAACGAGAACAGACAAGATACTCTTGGGCTGTTCTTCACAGGAACGGAATCTGTGCACAATAGCTCTGTGGCTTAGGAGGAACAATCTCCCAGCAACTGAATGAGTCTCATGAC